GATCTGTACCGATGCAATGCGCCTGGTGGAGCTGGTTCAGCTGCCTGGCCCGGACGGCGCGCCTTGCAGCCCTCCTGGCCTTTGACGGGTGCCGAGGAGACTACGCACCTACTTGCGATAACCGCACCGCTAGCAGACCTCCTTTCGTTTCCTCAGGCCGCCCGCCCCACCCCTTGGAGGTCGCAAAAGCGCCGTACTGCTCTGAGCAAGCAGGCACTGGCGCGCTCAGGCTCGTCTGCCTACCATCTAGCGCGACCATAAAAATCCACCAGCGCCTCCCAGCTTGACTTATTGCTGCAACCAGAATGCCCCCGCCCCAAGCAGTCCGTTCCAGGTGAAACCCATTACTCTTTTGATGCAGTGGGTGTGCAGCACCGAGGCAAGTGAAGCGATCGCGTGGTGCTCTGGAGTAGAGGGAAAAGAGGCGCGCGCACCCCATCCTCGGGCGAATCCTCTGCAGTCGAGCACAACGCGTCTGTTCATTTCTTCAGTTCCTCCAGTTGGCCAACGGAACCAACTGCACCCGCAAACGGCATGACCTGTAGCATGGAATTCAAATAAACCAATAGTACACAATGTCCGGGCAGGAAGCCACGAGAAGTCTCATTACTGAATTAGAGGAGGGATGGGCAAGCCAGGCACAAGAAGGCCGAGGCAGACGGGGGTGAGTTGGGTCTCCCAAAAACACCCACACAGACACGCCTGAAGGCCATAAAGACAAGGCATGACAGGAACAGAAAGCAGATAGTAGGAATACGCAGGAAAAGCAGAACCCGAACGGAATCACCATGGAGCGCCACTCTGCCATCAGCCCGGGACAAAAAGCCCCTCTTCCCACGGCCAGGCGGCGCCAGCGGGAATGCCGCCCTGGGGAACCTGAAGGACGGTTCAGTGGACACACCAGGACCCCGGCGCCAACCTTTGAAGGACCACGCCCGATCCCAGCCCAAAACTGCGAAGCTATACTAAGAGCCCCTAGGGGCATGACAAAGCTTCTCTACACGGACAAACAAGAAATCACACACACCCACGATCAGGACTAATATAAAGAGAAGAGACAAAAGTACCAGAAAGGACCAGAAAAAAATAAGAGATACAAGAAGAGGAACAGAGAGAAAAGAAAAAACAGCACCTCCAACACTTTCAGAGACAATCCGCATACTACTGCGACAAGCAGACAAGCGTAGCAGACGTGTGAAAACTGATCATCCTTGGACGTAGCATAGAGCTCAGAAATCTCCCTGACGACGACGAGCAAGACGCCCCGATATGGGGGGGCTGCTGGAACCTGTCTGGGTCCTGCGAAGTTCTGGAGTCAAAGGCTAAAGGGAAGGGGAATTGCGAGTGGGGAAGAGCCTGGTGCCACTCAGCCATACGAAAAAATGCTGACACCGAGCGCAAGCAAGAACGCCCACCAGGGCATGTCCAGAAAAACTAATTTCCATCTTGAATTCCATGGTCACCTGATGATACCAGAGCTAGACGCTGACGAGACAATTCCAGTCCTGCGAGAGGCCCAGGATCTGATGACTGCAGGAAGCAGTCCTCCGGCCCCAGTCGTGGAGCAGCTGACCGGGGGCGGATTGGGAGAGCACGCCTGAAACCAAAACACCCATGTGTTAGATTGCATCCGTGAAGGAGGTCATGCTCTGCTTTGTGTGACCACCCCACCCCCCGACTGTCTGCTCCTCAGAAGTCAACCACCAGGGGTGGGCGTAGTGACGTCCCGGCAGGGTCTGTCGTTTGCAGGTTGTGTTATTCTTGCGGTGGAATACTGCAGTGGGGGTTGCTTTTTCTGGGAGCAAGAGTCTGCCTCTCGCCACTTGTTGCCTAAGGCACCCGCAGGTCTGCCACTTAGGAAGCGCCGGTGAGTGTGTGTTTCCCACACCCTCATGGGGAGGGGAAGTGGCTGCCCTGGCAAGTCTGAGACAGATTGCAGCACACAGATAGCCTGTGACCTCAAACCAGGCTGGGGTTGGGCCTCAAGGCCAGGGCAGACACTCCTCTGGCAGCCTTTGAAAGCCAGGCCAGAAGGAGCACGGATGGGACATACAAACAGACAGAAAGACATACACACAAACACACACACCCTTAAGGCACTGGCCCAAGAGCCAAGGAGGAAGAGGGGTTGGCAGCTGCAGGGACCATCACAGAACCATCAGGGGACTTATTGCTGTCTGGTCCCACCCTCCTCTCCAAGGCTCTGGGTCCCTGAAGGCTGGCTAGAGTCTTGCTGCAGTGGTGGGGCCCCAGGACAAGAGCAAGAGGAGGCATTGGCCACACCATCTATAGGGCCTTTACCAACTTTCCATTGTCCTCACTGTCCCCTCAGAACACCATCACCTTCACAAGGGATGCGGCCTCTTTTACTTAGCAGTTGGGGGTAGCCCCTATGGTCTTGTGGCACAGGGGACCTGGGGACCACCCAGTCAGGAGTGCCCCTGACTGTGCCAGCAGACTTTCCATTCCCTGCCCAGGCTGCAAGACAGCCCCAGGCCCCTCCGTCCTTGGGCCTGCTTTGTCCATCTTCCTGGACGCTCTGTTCCTGGGGCCAGCTGTGCCATGTGTCCGTACCTGGCTGTGCTTGCCTCTGGGTCGGGCTGGTGTTGGGGGAAGGTGGGTTAAAACATCAGCTTCAGGCTGTTGAAAGAGAACAGAGGGTGGGCTAGTGGAAATCATGGGTGTGTGCCGGTGCAGGTTTAGGTTTAGAGAGATGTCAAAGGGTAGCAGTTGTGCCCCATAGCATTATAAAATGGTCTTTGTCCCCTTGGCCTGGCTGAATTCTGCTGCACCTTCAAAATTAATTGCTTCTCCCCAGGCCAAGGCAGGTGGCCCCTAGGGCCCCTGGCTAGCCAGCTGCCCTGCACTACCCCCCTCAGCATTCCCATGGCACCTACACTGGAAGCCTGTGGACCAGAGACTGCCTACGTCACAACCCATCCAGCAGGCCCCAGGGCCCTCCCTGCCCTGACCACAGGCCAGGCTCCCAATCAGCCCAGAGTGCCTCTTGGAGCACAGGGCCTTGGAGGGGCTCGGTGTCACTCATGTGCACATTCATCTATGTAGGCACGCATTCCTTTTCCTCAGCTAATGGACACTCACCCTACTCCAAGCCAGGCCCTAGGCAAGGCCCCAGAGATAAAGCACTCAGCATGGCAGGGGTAGGGGCTTGCCCTTGAGAGCTCGCAGTCTAGTGAGAAAGAGAGATTTTAATCAGCAAAGCACATATCTACTGGGTTCCAGGCAGGAACAAAACAAGAGCTCTGCCAGAGAGCCCTAGCGGATTTGGAGAGAGCAGGCCTGGCCCTGCACCCTCAGTGCTGTCCCGGGATCGTCAGTTGGTCTTGGGCGGCAGCAGCCTCGTGAAAACAGGTCCCCACTGGAGGGCCACTGCAGGAGCCACCCTCTCCCATTTGGGGGCTCATAGAAGACACTGGTCAGGGTGGGAGACTGGGGCCAGGACTGCAAAGAGGCTGCTATGCACTACTGTGAGGCTCTGGCCTCCTCATGGGGTGGGGTGGGGCAGGCTGAGGGAAGGGAAGTGATCATGGCAGGCCCAGGTGGCTGCTGTGTTGATACCTGTCTCTTGGTCCTAAGGTCTACACCTCTGCTTCCCTGGACCCAGAGTCACCACGATGCCCATCCTGGAAAAAGACCCTCATACGATGGCAGCAAAAACTCCCAGCAGCGAAGAAGAGTCTGTGAGTCCTCTTTTGGAGCCCCCTCTCATCCCTGCTCTCTCCGCTCACGTGCCCTTGCTTCCAGAACAGTCCAGGGTGGGACTGGCCCCCAGCATTTGCCTGGCCCCCAGCCCTGTACTCTCCTGGCATAAGCCCCAGGCGGCAGCCCTGGGCCTGCTGGGGAGCCTGGGAGGACCTGGAGGGGCGGGGAGTGGCCTTAGTGGGTGCCAGGGGGATGTTGGCAGCTACACTTCCGGGTCCCAAAGCAGAGAGAGTGCTTGACCAGGCCAGGGGTCTCCACCCCAAGTTCTACTTCTGATAGTTTTGAGCCCAGTGGGGTTGCCTTGAGGGCGCTGAATTCCCTGCCACAAGCCCTGCCACCTCCCTGCTCCCTGCTCCAGCTGCTATCACAGTGCAGCCCTGGAGGTTTAGGCACCATCTTCCCCACTGGCTTGAGACACTGCCTCCAAGTAATAGAGCGACACATCTGACTTCAGGTCATTGCTCATATTGGGCCCTCTTCCACAAATGTCATTTTGACACCCTCTCTGCCTTCTGCCCTCCACTTCGTTTGAAACCTTGATCACAGCTTTCTGCCTTCTCCCCATGAGGTTGCTCACTACGTTGTCTCGACCTCGGGGCTGAGACGCCTTCACTGTTACCTCTGCCCAGGGCATGCTCCCTCACCCCCAGTCCAGGACTCTGTACCAACCTGAGCCACAGGGCTGGAAGTCCAGGAGGGCCTGGGGAAGAGTGTGGGGGGCTGAGACGTCTGAGCAGATTCCCTGTTCCCCAGGCTGGGTCCCAGCACACTGACAGACCCCAGAAGGAGTGTGGCAGCTTCTAGCAGGGCCCAGCCAGACCCACTGGCCCTCTTGGTCAGACCGCCAGCTGGGCTGGGCTTTCTCTAGGTGCTTGCCCACCCACCCACCTCACAGAGCCCCCCACCCCAGGCACACAAGGAGAGGAAGAACTAGAGCAGCTGGGTGGGGCCCGGACCTGGCTGGCTGAGAATGGGCAGGGCAGCTGGGTGCTGTCCAGACCCGTCCTCTGCCATCCCCCAGGGCAGGAGCAGCCTGCAGTTGGCACTGGCACCTGCCAGAGCTGTGAACTCTAGAGACAGGACCAGACAGGCGAGGACCGTCATTCATCCATCAGCGGCACTCGCTCGGTCGTCCTCCGCCCAGGCCGCTGTAGCAGCGGCAGAGCAGGGGTGTTTGGGGGGCCCTTCCCTGCGCAGCCACCATGGTGGGGATTAACCTGAGGCTGCCTCATGGACACTCACCACCCACAGACCAGAAGCCCCTGCGGGAAGGTGGCCCACTGCCCGCCAACTTTGTGTGATTTAAGCAATAACATGAAAAGTCCTGCTTCCCTGTCATCGCTGGCCAAGTGGGAAAGGAGGGAAGGAGGAGGTGAAAAAGGGGGTGCAGGAAGGGAGAGAACAACCAGGGAAGGAAGCTAAGTGGACCATGAAGACTGAACTCAGCACCCAGCTCTGCCACTAGACTGTGGTGTGTGACCTTGGACTGGTCTCTCCCCTCTGGGACTCAGTTTCCTTATCCATAAATGGGACAAAAATACCTGCCATGGCTAAGTCACAAAATTGAAGACAGGCATGAAACCTCTGAGTGAACAGGGTGGGTGACCTGGGAGGCCAGTGCACATAGAGGGCAATAGGGGGTGTTCTGCCCAGACTCTAGCCACACTTTGGGACCCCCAAGGATTATGGGTTTCCTCTTAGGAATTCCTCTGGAGGAATAAGCACAGCAACATGATAACATTTTCTATGTGCTGTTTGGGGCCAGTTGTATCTCCCATTCGGTTCTCTCTGTGTCCCCCTCAGGTAGGAATTGTTACTTCTGTCCTGTGGATGAGGAGCTAAGGCCTGGAGAGATTTAGAGAGGAGGGAATTCCACTGTACCCTCAACCCCTGCCCCTAACACCCACATAGATCAAAACTCCCTGCCCAGGCTTTATAACTAGGATGGACTTACAAGGAGCTCAGGACATGAGTCATCTTCCCAGGAGACTTGCAGAATTCTGGTCATCGGGGCAGTACTGAGTGTCTTCCACCCCAAACCACCTTTTACCTTTCCAGATCTCTCCCTAAGAGTAGCGCCCTTCAGGTCCAGAGATCACCCAGACTCTGGAGCCCCAGTCTTATATTAAGAGTGACCAGCGGCCAACAATATCATTAACAGGACTATTTCATCTTAGACCCATCGTTTATGGTTTATAAGTACTTTCACATCCATTATCTCTTTGATCCTATAAGAGGGGGGGTATTACCCCCATTTTACAGGGGAAGAAACTGAGGCACAGTGGGAGGGTGACTTGCTGAAGGTCACAGAGCTGGTTAGCAGCAGGGTCGGGGTATGAACCCAGGTCTGTCTGGTGCCAACATCATGGTCTTTTCCTCTGCGCTTTATGCCTTCCTGGGGGAAGAGAATGGAGCGAGCAGGGAGAGCAAACAGGAGCTTCCTAAATTCATGATTCTGCTGAGGCGAGCCCTAGAAACAGGTCCCAGGACAGAGAGCAGGGATGGGGCAGAGCGAGAGATACTGAGGCCATGCCGGAAGACAGGCAGTGCCCATGAACCTTCTCTTGCAGGCACTGCCCAAGCTGCCAGTGCCCCCCCTGCAGCAGACCCTGGCCACCTACCTGCGGTGCATGCGGCACCTGGTACCCGAGGAGCAGTTCCAGAAGAGTCAGGCCATCGTGTGTCGGTTTGGGGCCCCCGGCAGCCTTGGTGAGACCCTGCAGCAAAAACTCTTGGAGCGGCAGGAGAAGACAGCCAACTGGGTAAGAGGTGACAGGGAGACAGGACCCACGGAGGGGCAGGAGGCAGACCCGGAAACAGGGGTTTGAGTGAGGGGCAGGTCGGGGACAAATATGGGGCAGACAGGGCAAAGGGGGACAGGGATGGGGGAGAGATGGGAACTGACAGGAGGCATGGGTTGGGGTACAGCCAGGGCCAGGTGAAGGCAAACAAGAGAAGGGCTGGGGACAGATGGGCATAGGAATGAAGTCAGGGAAGCAGAGAGGGTGAGGGGCAGGAAGGAGACAGGAGTAAGGGCTGGCAGAGGACTGGGATAGGCCACCAGGATGGAAAACTAGATGGAAGAAAGGAGCTAGTGCAGGGCAAAGGTAAAGGACGGGTGTGGTGGCCTGGGGAGACCTGGGCCCGAGCAGATAACTAGAGCTCAGTGTGTGTTTGTGGAATGAATGAATGAAGCAGATGCTCCAACGATGTGTCCTGATTTTCCACTGGGGCTGCCAGGGTGGGTCTGGTGTCCTCCATAGGCAAGGTGCCCTTGGAGGCACTTTGGCAGGGTTGGGAGTGTCATTGTGCGCCTCCACTTCCCTCCGCACAGGTGTCTGAGTACTGGCTGAACGACATGTATCTCAGTAACCGCCTGGCCCTGCCTGTCAACTCCAGCCCAGCTGTGATCTTTGCTCGGCAGCACTTCCAAGACACCAACGACCAGCTAAGGTGAGGCCATGGTGCTCCTGGTCTCCTAGCTTAGGGGCCTGCCCAAGGGAGGGGGCCCAGCCCCAGTGACAGGAAGGAAAGGCCAAAGCTAGTACCTTGGCTGAGCGAGACAGTCACCTCCAGGCCATCGAGTCAGGCAGGAGGCTAGCGTGGCTGCACTCGGGTAACAAACACTTGGTCTGCCTCAGAATCTGTTTATTTGTGGCAGGGTGGGCACTAACGGAGGTCATGGGCCTCAGATGTCACCAGGGCAGTTGCCACCTGGCCAAGGCCCCGGGAGGAGGTATGTGTCCTGGCACTGGTCAGTAGTTGTCACTGAGAGGCACAGCCCTGGGCTATCTGAGAGGGTCTTTGCTGCCCTCCAGAGCCCTGGCTCCAAACAGAGGCCCCAGAGGGGCGGAGTTGGTTCCTCCCTGCCAGCCGCCAGAGCCCGCGCCATCTGCCGCAATTTCAGAGCTCACTGAGCCGCTGGAAGGGCCGCTGGGCCCACTGATGACGAGGGAGGGTGGGGGAGGGAGAGTCTCCCTGCAGGGCCCTCAGAGCCTCTGCTCTCAAGACCTGAATGGGGCAAAGGGCAGGGGCAGTACAGAGGGCGGGTGGGCCAAAGTGGCCTGAGGAGAAGAGGCCGTGCTCGCCTCCCCTCTGGGCAGGGCACAGCCATGCTGGGAAGGCCCTGCCCCACCCCTGGCTCCCCAGGACCAGCTTGGCTGGCCTCGAGGCCAGTCAGCCTCTCCTCCCGCAGCCAGGGCTCCCCTGGGCAGAAGGAAGGTGTGATGGATGACTTCTGAGAACGGCCGTCAAAATTGCATCTGAGGGGCTGTTCTCCTCCCAGTGCAGTTAAGCCAGGCCCCATCAGCCGTGATGGACAGTTAAGGTGACACGGTCTCGTAGTGTGGCTCTCTAGCGTAGCGTCTTTCCCCTCAGCTCTTGCTTTCGTTTTCATTGGCATTAAGGGGACCAAATTGCTGGCTTTTCCCAGGAGACTGGATTTTCCAAAACTTCAGCGGTCCCAGCCCTGTCCAGCTCCAGGACTGGCCTTTCTCAGGAATAAATCCACCCCTCCCCATCCAGCCCCTCCAGCTTGCTCTGTGGCCCTCCTGGTCTCCCTCTCCCTCTCCTCCTCCTTCCTGAGGGCACCCGAGTTTCCTCTCCTCTCCCCCAGAGCTGCTCCACTAAAGGAGCATTTTAAATCCAAGGCCTGTGATCGGCTGACAGCACTGGGGGGCATGGACCACATGTGATTAGTGCCCCACCAGGGCCTGGCATATGGTGGGTGGTCGGAGAGTTTGGGAGGGGAGAGCCAGGCCCTGCGGGAGAGGCTCAGGCCTCACCTGTCTCTGCAGGTTTGCAGCCAGCCTCATCTCTGGTGTGCTCAGCTACAAGGCCCTGCTGGACAGGTAAGATGGGACCGCCTGGGAAGGGCAGTGCCCTGCCCGGGCCCAGCGGCCTGTGCATCTCTCTCCCTCCCACACTGGGCGGGGAGCTCCTCTAGGCAGGACCGGGTCTTTTCCAGGTCTGTTCCTGGCTCCTGTCACAGAGCAGGTGTCCCCGATCCACTCCCCCAGCATCAGGCACCAGGGGCCCGACCGTTAACTGTTCCTTTTCTTGGAGTAAGCATTGTCCATCCTTGAGCTTTTCAAAATGCCCCTCCTGCCACACCGCAGATGTGCACACGCGGTGCGCATTAGTTTGAGGCTCCAGAACACGTCGGAAGATGGGGAGGAAGGGTTCCTAGAGTAAGTGATGTGAGTTCCACTTAGCCACTTGGGGGAATGGTCTCCCCACACCGAGCCTCTGTTCCCTCAATGCCACCAAGGCCAGTGGACACGAGGGTGTTCTGACAGTTAGCGTGGGCTAACTTTGATTTCAAAGGAAGGCCCCTCTCCCAGCCAAGCCCCAGGGTGCTGGTGGTAGCGGGGAGAGGGAGAGGGCCTGGAGGACCCAGGTCTCAAAGGCAGAGACTATGAGGATATTGGATGCTGGGAGAGAATGGCCCAAAGCAGTGTCCCTCATACAGACGAGGAAACTGAAGCTCAGAGAGGTTAAGTAACTTGCCCGTGGTCACACAACTGGGAGGTGGCAGAGCAGGGAGGGCACAGGAGGCAAACTTGACCATCCGCTCAATTTGATCCAACTGAGTGTTTAACCAACCTTAGGGCAGAGGCTCAGACCCAAACCACCCCTCTCACCCCCAGGATAGGGCTGTTCTATCTGGAGAGGAGTGGGCAGGGCTCCCAGACCTAAAGGGCAGAACAGCGCAGGGCTTGGGCCCTGGGTCAGCACACCTGGATTCAGGCACCACAATTCTTTGTGTGTTGACCTTGGGCGAGGCGCTTAGCTATCATTCCCTGTCTGTCAAAGGGAAATAACAATAGCAGCCACCTCCTAGAGCCGCTGCGCCTCTCCTATGAGATGACGCCTGCGAGCTCGGAGCCCTGGCGAGGCACACAGCAGGGCCTCTCTGCGCCAGACACTCCTGGCCACGCTCTGCTTGCTCCTCCCTGAGTGCCATGGTCACTGTCCCATTCTCATGTTGGGTCTCCAGACCTTGGGGCTGCTGTCTCCTCGTGGTGTGTCTTTGTCTGCCTCCTCCAGAACTCACCCCCGCCCCCAGCTCATTGCAGTCGGTTTGCAAAGAGCCTCCGCGCTGAGGGCAGCCCTGCAGGGCCCTGTCCGCTGGGCTAGCGGCCGAGTGCCCGTCCATCGCTGGCAGCCTCGATGCCAGACTTCACGCGTGTGCACACTCACACAGACACACGTGCCTGGGCACGTCCACAGGAAGGTTCCCGCATCCAGTGACTGTCAGTGACTTAGGCTGGAACATTTGAGCCTTTAATTCACTCACTCACTCACTCAGTCACTTTGCAAAGCACTGATGCTGAGGAGATGAAGAGAAATAAGGCCTCGTCCCGGCTCTGAAAGGGTTCTCAGACTACTGGGCAAGACAGACACACAAAGACATAAAAACAGCTTTGTGCCTTCCCCTGAGCTCCACACTCCATCACCCAACCCCAGACATCCCCACTGGGGTGGCTCCGGTCACTGCAGACAAGCCTAGTAGAGGCTTGCCACTCCCTGCCGCCCCACCGTGTCCTCTGCTGTGTTGCCCTCCAGTTAGTACAGCAGCACACCCCGGCGGGGGCCGGGAACCTAGAAGCCGCCTGTGGCTCCTTTTCTACATCACACCCTCATCTAATCCACAGGCTGCTCAGGTGTGACTACTTCCCTCCAGATCACGGCCCCAGCCCCTCCCCCCCACTCCCTCTCCTCCACAGCCCACATCACTTTCCATCTCAGCGGAGGCCTCCTTCCTTGTTCTTCCTGTGACCCCCTTGCTCTGCCCTCCACAGATAGCCATTTAAAAAGCAAAACGTTAGCCAAATCACGCTCCTGCATGCTAGAGCCTTCCAAGGGCTTCCACTGCACGAGAATAAAATGACAGCCCATTGCCACCTCACTGCAGCCTGGCAGGACCTGCCTTGCTCCCTCACTGGCCTTCCCTTCACTGGGCTTCCATCCCACTGGCTCCCTTTCTGCCTTCCGTGCTTCTCAAACTATCTCTGGGGAAGGACTAATATTTTGGCAAATTTTTAAAAAACACAACAAAAAATGAATTACTAGAAAAATGATATAAAGGCACAAAATACAAGACTATATGTTTTATTATCAGATTCAACAGCCATGAAATTATTTTGCATTGCTGTGAAAGTTTCTGGATTCAGGCATTCACCCTGCCATCGGTCGGTCATGACAGTTCAGTGTGGTGCCCACACTTTGACCACACCATGACACACTCCACCCTGCTCTCTTCCATGGTGATCTCTCACCCTTAGGGCCCAGGTCAATCTACCAGGTCTCAGTGATACTGCCCCTGGCCCCCTCCTCCCACCCCTGCCAGTCACTCTTTCTCACCACCTGAAAGTCTCCTATTCTATCAGTTTGCTGCTTATGGTCTATTTCCCACCTATACATCCTCATACCTGCACCCCATTAAAGCAGGAAGTACGTGTCTTGTATTTTATCCCCAGAGCCCAGAATGGTGCCTGCCACAGAGGAGAGGACAAGCACATATTTTTTGGCTGAAATGGTGGAAGGATGGATGGAAGCATGAATGCATGGTGGATGGATGGATGGATGGAGGGTGGATAGATGGGTGGATGCATGGTGGATGGATGGATGGGTGGATGTATGGATGGAAGCATGAATGCATGGTGGATGGATGGATGGATGGAGGGTGGATAGATGGGTGGATGCATGGTGGATGGATGGATGGGTGGATGTATGGTTGATGGATGGATGGATGGGTAAGTGGATGCATGGTGGATGGATGGATGCATGGTGGATGGATGGATGGATGGTAGATGGATGGGTGGATGTATGGTCGATGGATGGATGGGTGAGTGGATGCATGGTGGATGGATGGATGCATGGTGGATGGATGGATGGATGAGTGGATGCATGGTGGATGGATGGATGGATGAGTGGATGCATGGTGGACGGATGGATGGATGAGTGGATGCATGGTGGATGGATAGATGGATGGAGGATGGATGGGTGGAGGATGGATGGTGGATAGATGGGTGGATGCATGGTGGATGGATGGGTGGATGGATGGGTAGATGCATGGTGGATGGATGGATGGATGCATGGTGGATAGCTGGATGGATGGTGGATGGATGGTGGATGGATGGGTGGATGGATGGTGGATGGATGGATGGATGGGTGAATGGATGCATGGTGGATGGATGGATGGATGGATGAGTGGATGGATGGTGGATGGATGGATGGATGGAAGATGGATGGTGGATGGATGGGTGGAGGATGGATGGTGGATAGATGGGTGGATGCATGGTGGATGGATGGATGGATGGATGGGTGAGTGGCTGCATGGTGGATGGATGGATGGATGAGTGGATGCATGGTGGATGAATGGATGGATGAGTGGATACATGGTGGATGGATGAATGGATGGGTGAGTGGATGCATGGTGGATGGATGGATGGATGAGTGGCTGCATGGTGGATGGATGGATGAGTGGATGCATGGTGGATGGATGGATGGATGGATGGAGGATGGATGGATGGGTGGATGCATGGTGGATGGATGGATGGATGGGTGAGTGGATGCATGGTGGATGGATGGATGGATGAGTGGATGCATGGTGGATGGATGGATGGATGGATGGATGAGTGAATGCATGGTGGATGGAGGAGTGGATTCATGGTGGTGGATGGATGGATGAAAGGAAGGGAGAGAGAGAGGGGAAGGATAGACATAAAGCATGCTGAGATCACAGAGGAAAGAGAACTTCCTGCCTTGACCTCACAGGAGGCTTCTAAAAGAGATGATAAGGAGTATACTTTTAAATGGGGAGAAAGGGTTTTCTCAACAGAACAGTTGATTTCAGGGATGGGGCGAAGGTTTGCCAAGTGAAGATCAGTATAAGCAAAGGTGCAGAGGGCTGCATGGCAAAGGTTACACATGCAGTGCCTGAGACAGGGGCGAGGGTGGATTAGTGGAGGTTTGAGAAAACTAAGAGTCTCTTTCCAGTGCCCTGGAAATGGGCACTCCAGTACTTTTATTTTTTGAGACAGGGTCTCACTGTATTGTCTGAGCTAGAGTGCCGTGACGTCAGCCTAGCTCACAGCAACCTCAAACTCCTGGGCTCAAGTGATCCTTCTGCCTCAGCCTCCCGAGTAGCTGGGACTACAGGCACGAGCCACCATGCCAGGCTAATATTTTTATATATTTTTAGTTGGCTAATTCATTTTTTTCTATTTTTAGTAGAAATGTGGTCTCGCTCTTGTGAAGGCTGGTCTCGAACTCCTGAGCTCAAACGATCCGCCCACCTCGGCCTCCCAGAGTATTAGGATTATAGGCGTGAGCCACTGTGCCTAGCCTCCAGTACTTTTAAGAGTGGAGAATTGAGCTCTGTGACTGACATGGTGATGCAGTTCTGAATTTTGAGCCCCATTTTGCCTGATCAGGTTATAATAGAACTGCTTTCTATTCCCTGTCTCCCCCACCCCTCCCGGATGGCTGCTTCCCTCCCCGCTACCCCTCCAGCCACTCCATCCCCACAGACTGTGCCACGGGCCAACTGTCAGGGCAGCCCCTTTGTATGAAGCAGTACTATGGGCTGTTCTCCTCTTACCGGCTTCCTGGCCACACCCAGGACATGCTGGTGGCCCAGAAGAGCAGCATCATGCCTGAGCCCGAGCATGTCATTGTGGCCTGCTGCAACCAGGTAAGTGGCCCCTTGTCTTGGGCTTGGGCAGGGGCGTGGGGCATGCAGTGGCCGTGTGCGTGCATCCATTCCTCTTCTCCGAGGGTGCTCAGCCCACTCCCTGAGTCACACGGTAAGCCCCCAACTGGGGTTTCCTACTCCCAGTCAGTCCGTTTCTCTCCACTAGTTGGCTTTTAAGAATGAGGAGAATCATTAGTTCGAGAATAAACTCACTGAGCTCTCATTTCAGCCCTGATAGACTGATAGTTGTGAACAAGACCAAGCATGGCCTCGGCCCTCCACCTGCACATCTGTTTGTTTCCATGCAGTCACCCAGGCTGTGGCCTTTCTGGAGACCACACACGGACAGATGGACAGAGTTGTGGACTGACAGGACCTCCTATGTGCCAGACCAAGGCTCAGCACTCACACACACATTCATGCTGTTTAATTCTTACAGTGACCCTGCAGACAGGATCTGAGGGTCTCTGTGCAACAGATGAGGCCATGAGATTCGGACGAGTCAAGTGGTTTGTCCAACAGTGGGATGGACTCCTAGTTCTGGCCAGTGCCCCAGCGCCACACTCTATGCCCTGCAGCTCAGGTCTTCAGGCTGGACTCCGCATAGCCAACAAGGACACCCTGGGGCCTGGGGGCTGGGCTGAGCCTGAGGGCTCCTGAGCCCCTCCCAGTGCCCACCACACTTCACATCAATATTTCATCTGACAAAAACATTTGTTTGGGGTTTTTGTTTTATGCTAAAACCCAAGTTTGCAACCATCCCAGGGACCTCCAGTACTTGCTCTGCAGTGTGCTCCTCTTGGGCTCATCTCACATTTTCAGTGAGCTGAGAGCTCATTGGAAGTCTGCCATCTGAGGGTGGCTGCGACCCCCGTTCTCAGGCTTGAAGGCTAACTAGGAGGCATCACAGTCCACCTGGCACCCTGGCTGGCCAGCCACAGACCAGGAACCTTTCTCCGTCTTCATTCACAAGCCAAAGCCAGCATTTCTCAGCCCCAGCAGGCCTCAGTCTACTCCTCTCAGAAAGGCTCTCGCAGCTCCTGCTCTGGATCAGGGTATCCCTACTCTCCCTTCGTGTCAGTCAGCTGAAAAGGGCATCTCCACCTGGGCCTAGGAATAGGGCTTTCACAAAGCCCAAGGCTTTGGCCTTTAACACTGCAAAATGACAGCCCCACAGGGCTCACGTACAGAGCACATGTAAGTACACATGTGTAGGTGCATATATTTATGCATAGAGCATGTTGGATTTCCATTTTAATCTTCCTCTGCAAATGATTTGCTAGCTTCCTTTTTTCCTCCACTCACCGTGTGTTTGAGATGTATCCCCACAGCTCTACCTACAGCTGGTCTGCATAGACATGCGCTGGACAAGGACACTACACTTCACTCAGCCATGTGCTCCTAGAGAGCCACTTTGCTCCTGCCAGCAAGACTGGGGTGCACATCGCCCATGGCTTCCAGCGCACACGGGCCTGTTTCTCTAAGCCTTAGGCTAACATATGCATTTATAAGTGCAACTGCTTAGTCGTAGATGTGCACATTTTTAATTTTGATAGACACTGGGCTCCAACAGTGGTTGTGCCAATATATACTCAATTCCCTACAACATAATGGTCATACCTGAAGTAGGAACCACAAATCAACTTTTGTTTGGCAAAGTTTAATCTTGCCATTTCTGGTTAGGGGCAGCTTGGGATCCAGCACAGCCAGCGGCACTGGGTTGGTCCCAAGTTGAGACTACTCGGAACCACAATGCCCGGGAGCCTGGGGCCTGAGCACCCATCCCAGGCCCCCTGGAAAGGCTGGTGGCAGCCTGGCGCCTGGAGCCGCCCCCGCGAGTGACGTGTTTGACCTGTCTCCCTACAGTTCTTTGTCTTGGATGTTGTCATTAATTTCCGCCGTCTCAGTGAGGGGGATCTGTTCACTCAGTTGAGAAAGATAGTCAAAACGGCTGCCGACGAGGACGAGCGCTTGCCTCCGATCGGCCTGCTGACGTCGGACGGGAGGAGCGAGTGGGCCGAGGCCAGGACAGCCCTCGTGAAAGGTCAGCGGGGTGCCTGCGCGTCTCCACCCACCTCGCCCTCACGCCCGTCGCCCTCCCGGTGGGCCCGGCGTCCCATCAGCCGCGGCCTGCCCCGCTCGGCAGGCCCTGTCTCGGCTGAGGCGCTGGCGAAGGCACCCCGCCCTGCTCTCCTCTGCCGTGCTCCTGCTCTGGGGAGGCTGGCTGGGGCGGGAGTGCGGTGACGGGGCGCCCGGTGGCGGCTCTCGCGAGGAGGCCTGCTGGCGGCGCGGTCGGGGTCTGACGGCGGGCGGTGCGCGCGGGTCTGGGACGGTGGTCGGCTGCCTCCTTCACCTGGTGTTCCCGTCCCGCGACTTTTCCTCTTCAAGCTGGCCCTTCTCCTTCTGGCTGGCTGCTGTCTTTGTGAAAGTCTCCAAGCATTCCCATAAGAAAGCCAGCAAAATTTTGGAAAATTTTTAATCATCCTTCTGGAAACGTTTTCAAACCCAACTCCAGCCCTCGTTCCAGGGGCCGGCCGGAGCGGCCTCCTATGAGCCTCCATCTGCCCCTCGGACTTTCACTGGGTCCGACAGTCCCTTCAGGCTTCCTGAGTGTAACTGAGGGCTAGGCCTGGCGGGTGAGACAGAAGGGACGAGGTCCCTGCCCCTGAGCAGCCCCAGCAGGGGAGGAGCTCCCGGTACATGGGAATGTGATGTTTATCCACACGAGGCCATGGAGACAGCAGGTGTCAGATAAATGCTCCGAGGCCATGGAGACAGCTGGTGTCAGATAAATGCTCCGGGACTTCAGAGACGGAGGGGGTCCTTCCAATAGAGATTTTGAAAGGGTTTGTTGGAAGAGGTGGGAATGGAGCGAAGCCCTGTGCAGGAGTGAGGGGGTTTGGAGGGAGGGAGGGAAGGCAGCACCAGGCAGGTGGACTGACCCGGGCACAGCCAGCTGCTTAGCAGGTACATGCCCGTCCTATCTCTGGGACCACCAGGACAGCAGCCACTGGCAAGGATGGCCTCGCTGGACGCTGGACAACAGGCACTTGCATTCTCTGGGCCTTCTCTCTAGAAGGTTCTTCCCCCAGAGCTGACTGGCTCTGGTACCCTGTGTCATGCAGAGCTCAGCTCAGGTGTCCTGGCTACGGGCCTGGTGACATTGGTTAAATAAGAGAATGAGGGTGAGGAATGACACCAGGTCCCAGACTTATCGCCCTCCTACCAGTTCTGTCATCTGATGGTTGGCCACCCACTGAATGCTTGGTCCTAAATAGGAGGATTTGGGGCCCACGGGGAGGAGCGAGAGCAACCGTCCTCACGGACTTGCCTGCCACTTGGGGGATTAATAACTTATCTTTCGAAAGTGAGTTAATTCCCTCAGGAAACCACATTGTAATCCAATCCCACTCCCCTCCAGGGACAGGGACAGGCATCAGAATGATGCCTCTGCGTCCAGCATGTCTCCACTTCATTACCAGGCCAGGCCCAGGACAGCCCTCCAGGACTGCGGGATTGCCTGGAGGTCTGAGTGCTTGAGCCGCACTGATCAGAATTAATTTGTTAATGGCACTTGATCTGGCTTTCTGAATGGAAGTGCTGTCTGTGAGGGAAGCGTGACAGAAAGGAGGGGACACGCGCCTCCTCCCGGGCAACCCAATTAATCAGGTTAGCAGCGTGTCGTCTGTGCAGCGAGAGATGGCCGCTCTCAGAGCCCTCTCTCCGGAGCAGCCCCCGCCCACGCAGGGGAGGCAGGGCCACCACTTAGGACATGATTTCAGTTTCCAAGTGAAAGATGATGGCAAGCTGGGCCAGGGTTGAGAGTGACGATGGGAAGTCCAGTGGAGTCTAGCTACATTTCAAAGCAAAAGCATCAGGGAGGAAAAGAGAAGTGAGAGCGATTCCTGTGTGTGGTTTGAGCCACTGAGTGGACTGCGGTACTGTTTACTAAGCCGGGAAACGGGCGGGGGAGGGCCCGGAAGGAGAGGTCCTTTCCGCGCACGCCGGGTCCGAGGTGCCTTGAGTCATCCAAGTGGAGATGTCAGTTTGATCTATTTGTTTGGAGCTCCAGGGAGAGGCTGGTACAGAGTTATAAATTTGAGAGTCATGAGCACATAAATGATGTCTAAAGTCATGGACCTGGGTGAGATCATCTAGGAACGGAAGAACGGGGGACCCAGAGGTCAGGAAGAGAAAGGCGCCAAGGGGGTTGAGAAAGAGCAGCCCGTGAAGCAAAGGGAGACAAGAGATGAGTCACAGGTTCATCTGTGCCCTTCCATGTGGAATGCTCCTGGGAGCCCGAGGAAGAACGGGGCAGAGAGGAGACACGGGTGTGGCACCCTGAAGTGAGCTGGCCGAGGGTCAGACTGGAGTAGCGGGAAGACCCCAAGGTCGCTGCTGGTGGAAATCGACTAGCAGTGGAAATTGTGGACGGGGCGGCCAATGAGGAGTGTAAGTGCAGATGGCTGTTTTCAGACATTTGGGCACTAAAAGGAGCAGGCGATGAGGAGCTGCTGGGAGAGGATGGGGCCGAGGGGAGAGTTCTTAGGAGAGGCAGGTGCGTGGAGGGGCCTGGTAAAAGGGATTGATGGGGGAAGAGGAGATAAACGGAGGGAGGAATTCTTGCAAAGGCAGAAGGAGCCGGAACCCAGAGTGAGAGACCTCTGATTGGTACAGGGAAGATCAGAAAGCTTGGGAGTGAGGCCCGTGGCACCATGGCTGTGGTGGCAGGAGCGTGAGGACGTCCCCATTGGTAGCTCCTGGTCTCAGACCATCAGAGTCACGGCGTGAGCTGGGGCTGGGTGGGAGTGGGGCTCTGAAGGTAAAAGGCAGGTACGAAATCCTCCTAGAAGTGGGAAAGAGAACTTACTCAGGAAACTTGATAAGATTTGTGGACTGTGTTGAGCTCATACGTGAGGGTTTGTGGTCACAGACTTTAGGAGAAGCCAACTGGCACTGTTACGCGGCATCCCCATCCCTCCCACACCGTGCAGGCCTCAGGTCAGCCAGAGTTGGTGGACGTGACTGAGGGAAGCAGCCCTCCTACGGCGGGGGTGAGCCGCGAGGGGTGCTGGCCTGTCCTTAGGCAGGGGCCATGAGGGGCTCAGGAGGCAGGGCAGGGAAGGGTGGGGACAGGACGGAGTGCACTCAAGGCACAGGGAGCGGTGGGGGAGGGGAGAGCAGGGGACCCCTGGGGATGTGCTCCACTGCCCTCCATGCCACGATACTCCCAAACCCTTAACTTCTGGGAGCTTTCTCCTGGCGAAGGCGCGGCTGCCTGGCTGTGGCGCTGGGGCTGAGGTTCTTTCTGGCCCTCAGCAGTATCCTGATTAACTCCAGGGAATGGCTCCCAGCCCTCTCAGCTGAAGCCCCGAGGCCCCCTTCCCAGGATCTGGGTACTGAGACAGTCCTGTGGGCACTGGGCCTGGCAGGTGCTGGCCAGAACCAGCCTCAGCCAAGCTGAGCCCCTCTCATCCTGGTGGCGTCTGGACCAAGGAACCTGAGCTCAAAGTGTGTCCCTGGGTTCTCATGTGGTCACCTGAGGCCCCTGGGGCAGGGCTTGTCTGCTCTGACCCTTCATCTCGTCAACCCTCTCTCCTTGGGAGACACTGCCCTGGTTTCCCACCCTGCCCCAACCAGGACAACCGCCTGTTGTGAGTTCCCAGGCTTTCTAGCCCAACCTCTGCTGTGATACTGAGGGGACAGAGCTTTAGGAGGTCCAGGGACCACCAGGGTGGCACAGCTTCATGAGGAGGGGCCCAGCTGCTGCGCCCTGACAGCCCCCACCCGGGGCTTTTCACACAGGGCCTGCTGAGACACGTGCAGGAGTATGTGAATTGCCATCACTAAATGCAGTCTGGTCACCCACAGGCCTCTGCCAGTGTCCTCCTGGGGCCCAGGTACCAGGGTGTGCAGGCTAAAACCAGAGGAGCACTTCCGACAGAGTCCTAAGGGGCTGTGGAGGCTGCCCCGCCCTGCCGGCCGTGACCCAGGCGGGCTTCCTGTCCAGAGTAGAACTTGCAGCTGAAGTCAGGTGGGCTGAGGTCAGCGTGACTCAGCCCTGGCTGCCGACTGCGTTGTCGGCTGATGACATCAGCATCCTCTAGAGCATTCCTTAACAAAAACAAAACAAAACAGATTCCTGGGCCCGGACGATTTTCCAGTGGCACAGGAGTGGGGCCAAGCAATCTAAATAAAGCGCCCTGGGGTTTTCACGTGCAGCCCAGGTACTCAGATCTTAGTGGCTGCCGTGCAGCCGGGTCCTCCTTTGTGCTTGGCCCTGTCCCAGGTGCTTGCTGTCCTTTGTCATACGACTTCACTGTGCCTATGAGGTGGGGATTTGATCGCCACCGAACAGCGGGGCAGGCTGCGTCTTCTACCGATTGAGCGGTCCCCGCCCTCAGAGGTAGTCAGTGGGGAAGCGGGGCTCCACACCAGGCCGGTGGGTCGGCTCCCAGCCTGAGATCGGCAGTGCCTCACAGGGGTGGGATTCTGGAGATGAGCGCGGGGCCTGCACATCCTCTCAGGGCCTCCTCACCCAGCCTGGTAGCTGTGGCCTTCCTGAACCCAGGAGGAGCCAGTACCGTTATCCCGGTCTGGGAATTTAATTAGACATTTGGCCCCGAGTCTGGAAGACTACAGTGCTTGTCAATTTGCAGAAAAAGGATGGCCAGCTTGGAGAGCCCCCAGCCCACTGGCTGTCCAGGGTGCTGCCGCGGAGATCCTGCCACCAGACCTCAGAGTCAGATGCTGTCCGTGTACACAGTCCGTAAATATTCATCCCCAGCAGCCAATTAGGGCTGAGCCACTGCTTTCAAGGGGGACTGACAGAAGGCAGCTGCAGCTGCGGAGGCTGCGGTCATGGTTTACAAGAACCACTCAGGATGGGGCATTTTGCGTTTTAAATATTGTCATCCAGAGCTAGGCAAGTCTGCTGATTTTAAAACCAATTACACATTAGCACGAACAGCCTCTCTGATTTAATTGGCCCAGAAATACCTCCTGAGAAATGTGATTTCCTTGCTCTGGGGAGGGCTGGGGCCG